GTGTGACAGATTGGTATCAGAGCCCTTGTTTATAGTGAATAAAGTATACCAAACCTTACATGGTATAAAACTATAAACACTAAAGGGCCTAAGTGCTCTGAATTAAAAGTATCTTCAAACTACAAGTATTTTCAAAAGTGTACAAGTATACCAAACCGTCGCCATCCGTAACCACAAGTAGAACAGAACATAAGTAAATGGGTGTTGTGTACTACGGTTAAACCTGGGCAGTTATGTAGTCGTGTCTAGGGTCAATATGGCCTGGCCAACTATATTCATTCGAGACACGGCCAACATGTGTTTGGGAGTGGCTGTGTATGTGGCATGCCTAAAACTTACCCTAATATCCCAACATCGAATCATTATCGTAAACAATTCATGAAATACTATGGGAGTATTTCTCGATTCCAATCGTCTGTAGTAATCCTCATTCGAGTAGTTTTCTGTGATTACTCTTAGCGATAAATTATCTGTTCGATAACTCTTTCCTGCTTTATCGCTTACTCGAATCATATAACTGTCATGCCTATCGATTCAATGTAGAGGACTTACCATCCTCTTTTCCTTGATCTTATTAGATCAAGATGCCTCCCCGAAAGAGACCTAGCTCAAAGAACAACGACAATCCTTCTTCGCCGCCACCTCCTCCCCAGTTTGACTTAGCATCAGTCCAGACAATGATGACAGCTGCAATGGTAGCAGCTATGTCACAAATGAACCCTAGTGGTTCAGGTGGTGGTACTCAATCTCAAAACCCTGAGGGTAGCCAGGGACACCAAAGAGGGGGTTCCTATAAGGATTTCATGAATGCGAAACCAACATCCTTTAATGGCGCTGGAGGTGTCATTTCTTTATCTCGATGGTTCGAGAAAATCGAGTCCATCTTTGAAATCTGTGCTTGTGCGGAATCCGATAAAGTCAAATTTGCAGCCTGTACCTTGCAGATAAAGCTTTGACTTGGTGGAATGGCCGAGTCAAATCTCTAACCTTACCCACAGCCAATGCCATGGGCTGGGAAGCCATGAAGGAACTTCTCATTGCTGAATACTGCCCCCGTGGTGAAATGCAGAAATTAGAGCACGAGCTCTGGAACCTGAAGATGAAAGGTTCCGACATTGCTGCATATACTTCCCGATTTGATGATCTTGCACTTCTCTGCCCGGGATTAGTCACTCTTGAAAACAAAAAGATCGAAAGGTTCGTTTGGGGATTATCTCAACCAATAAAGAGTCATGTTTTGGCTGCTCGTCCGGATACCTACGATAGTGCCAAGACCTTAGCACAAATTCTAATTGATCACAACGACGATATTAAGGAAATCACTACCACTTCTGAGCCGACTCAAAGGAGTGGTGAAAAGAGGAAATTCTGGAAGAAGAAGGGTCAATCTTCTCAAGGATCATCCAAGAAACAACAGACGGTAGCAGTCCATGCTGCTACTACTACTCCTGTTGTTGCTGTTTCTGCCATGGGATCCACTGCCTCAACTCCTACCAGTAAATATGCTGGTAACCTCCTCTGTGTGACAAGTGTAAATACCACCATCATCCTGGCCCTGTCGAGAATTGTCTTGCACCAACTGTGGTAAGAAAGGGCACACAGTTCGTACTGCAGAACCCCTACTCAATCAGCTAACCAATCATCAGGAGCAGGTGTTAGTCAAGCCTGCTACAACTGTGGTGAAGTCGGGCACTTTAAAAGGGATTGTCCAAGAAGTCAACTGCTGGTAACACTGGAAGGGTCTGACCATGGGAAGGAGGAAGCAGTTGCCGATCCCACTGTTGTTTCGGTACGTTCCTTCTCGACAATTCACATGCTAGTATTCTTTTCGATTCGGGTGCTGAAAGAGTTTTGTTAGTCATGCATTCAAACATAATCTAAAACCAAATCCTCAACCACTAACTGAAACGTTTACCGTCGAGATGGCTAATGGTGAGAAAGAAAGCGCTAACGACGTATTCATAGGTTGTACGCTTACCCTAAATGATCACTCATTTCCTATAGACCTCATGCCCGTTTCCATTAAGAGCTTTGATGTTATCGTTGGCATGGATTGGTTGAGTCCCAATCATGCTGACATTCTTTGTTACGAAAAAGCTATCCGTCTCAATCTTCCTTCGAATCAAACTCTCATAATCTATGGCGATAAACCCAGTTCCAACCTTCATATCATTTCTTGCATCAAAGCTCGAAAGCTCCTTCGAAAGGAGTGTGTTGCATTCTTAGCTCATGTAATCAACGAGAAACAAGAAGTTAGAGACCTCGCGAGCATTCCCGAAGTCTGTAACTTTCCCGATGTGTTTCCCGAAGAACTTCCAGGAATTCCTCCCGAACGTCAGGTCGAGTTCCGTATTGACCTAATTCCTGGAGCTACTCCCGTAGCAAAATCCCCGTATCGCTTAGCTCCCGCAAAATGCAGAGTTATCCAGTCAACTCAATGAGTTGCTCAGTAAAGGATTCATTAGGCCGAGTTCCTCACCCTGGGGAGCTCCGATTCTGTTTGTCAAAAAGAAAGATGGATCCTTTCGATGTGTATCGACTATCGTGAGCTGAACAAGTTAACCGTTAAGAACCGATATCCTCTTCCAAGAATAGACGACCTCTTCGATCAACTCCAGGGAGCCAGTTACTTCTCTAAGATAGACCTTCGGTCGGGTACCATCAGTTACGAGTCCAGGAGAATGATGTTCCCAAGACAGCTTTTAGGACTCGGTATGGACACTACGAGTTTGTAGTGATGCCCTTCGGTCTAACCAATGCACCGGCTGTGTTCATGGACCTGATGAACCGGGTGTGCCGTCCCTTCCTAGACAAATTCGTTATCGTGTTCATTGATGACATCCTCGTCTACTCCCGAAGTGAAGAAGACCATAAACAGCACTTGAGGCTAGTGTTAGAAACTCTTAGATCCGAAAAGCTTTACGCAAAATTTTCCAAATGTGAATTCTGGTTATGGAAGGTAACTTTCCTCGGTCACGTAGTAAGCGAGGAGGGTATTCATGTAGATCCTTCCAAGATTAAAGCGATAGAGAGTTGGTCGGCACCGAAAACACCCACGAAATTCGTCAATTCTTAGGTTCTAGCCGGCTACTATCGACGATTCATTCAGAACTTTTCCAAAATCGCCAAACCTTTAACCACTCTAACACAGAAAGGTGTACCCTTTTGTTGGAGTGATAAGCAAGAAACTGCATTCCAAACGTTGAAGAGAGCCTTATGCAGCGCGCCTGTTCTGTCTCTGCCTGAAGGGACAGAGGACTTCGTTGTCTATTGCGATGCGTCTAATCAAGGTTTAGGCTGTGTGCTTATGCAAAGAGGAAAGGTGATTGCCTATGCCTCTAGACAGCTGAAAGCACACGAAGTCAACTATACCACACACGACTTGGAGCTAGGAGCAGTAGTCTTCGCATTGAAGATTTGGAGACATTATCTCTACGGAACCAAGTGCACAATCTTCACTGATCACAAGAGTCTGCAGCACATCTTTAATCAAAAAGACTTAAACATGAGGCAATGGCGATGGGTAGAATTACTCAGTGACTATGAGTGTGAAATCCGTTACCACCCCGGCAAGGCCAATGTGGTAGCAGATGCCCTTAGCCGAAAGGATAGTACAAGCCACAAAGCGAAGAACCAGACGATGACCATCCATTCCAACTTACCTACGCAAATCCGAGAAGCTCAGTATAGCCCTCAAACCTGAAAACGTGTCAGATGAAACCTTGAGAGGAATGGAAAAGAAACTTGAGATCAGAGGTGACGGAGTTCACTGTTTCATGAATCGAATCTGGATTCCCAAATCCGGTGGATTCAGGGAAATAGTCATGGAGGAAGCACATAGAACCAAATACTCTGTTCACCCAGGTTCGGACAAGATGTATCTGGATCTCAAGAAACATTACTGGTGGCCAAACATGAAAGCTGAGATAGCTACATTCGTGGGCAAGTGTCTGACTTGCGCCAAAGTCAAAGTCGAACATCAGAAACCTTCAGGTCTGCTCCAACAACCCGAATCCCCGAGTGGAAATGGAAATGATTACCATGGACTTCATC